CTACAATGTCAAGGGGTACTCGGATAAAATATTATGGCAGGGCCTGTCTCTATTAGCTCTAGAGTCATTAATTTGAACATAAACTTTGAAATAATAGGATTCCAACATAGCCCAATTTCATCACCAACACCCAATACGCGATCATTGATCAATGTCATGCACGATAGACAGTATTCATCACTACGCAGCTTCCTAAAAGTAAAACTTACATCTTTGTATTTCTTCTCTGTTACATCCCACAAGCCAACATGCTCCACATTCCCGTTCATTAATGTGCATATTTTGTTAGGTGAACTACAATGACTAATGCTAGAGCATACACTTGGTTACTATAATTCAAGTACAAAGAAAATTCAGATAAGTAGAATCGAGGTTTCAAGAACAATACAAAAAGAAATTTTGGAGATCAAACAGCTCGAGTTATCACAAGACATTCAAGATTGTATAACCATACATTGAAGCACTAACATCTCATCGAATAACAGAAATGTCAGCCAATCTTTTCTTGCAAATACAAGTACACATTAACAAAGACAGTTCTTGAATCATTTACAGAATTTTAACATAAAACTTGAAAAAACAAGTAGATCATCGTAGCCAGATATTCGTACTCTATTTTACAGAGCTATGATCCAATTTCTTGAATCGTTTACAGAATTTGAACATAATATCCCATTTCTACAAATGAATCAGCCACTTTTTTTTATTATTAAGTAATTTGAACATAAAATTTGAACATCTAGGATCCCAAAACAGTCCAATTTCATCACCGACCCCCAATTTGTTATTGTTGAACAATTCAATGCACGAAAGAGCATAGTCATCGTTGCACAGCTTCCATAAGTAAACATGCTCACCTTCATACTTGTTAGGAGCATTATCCTCCGTTACATCCCACACTTGAACATACACCCCGCACCCGTTCACCAGAATTTTTGCCATGTCCAGTGTCCAGTGTCCAGTATCGAATAATGTACTCAAACGTCTCGATATATGGAATCAAGAGGGCTCCTGCCTTAATCTCATAACTGGTGATCTTTATCTTGATCTGCCATGGGTTTTCCAGATCGATTTTTGGGGGAGGATATATATCCCTAATCTCAATTAGCTCTCGAGTCACTACATATGGAGTGTTGTTACGTTTGCAAGCTGCTTCTTCTTCTTTTGATGGAAAAAAATTGTAAAAGAAGGTCTTCTTAAGGCTACGCAAAGGTTTTACCAGAGCATATACTTCCTTTTCACTCATTTTGTTGACGATTTTAGTGGGAAATTGAAGAAGAAGAAAGAAGAGGGAAATTTATAGGATAAACAGAGGCCGTTACAAATGGCGGGGGCATAACCACTTTTCAGTTTTTTTTCTTTTTTTCTTTTTTCGCTTGTACTTTTTCTAAATTATTTTTTATGCTGGAACTAAATTATTTTTTTAATCATCAACAATGTTATGGTTTGTATTAAATAAATAAGAATAATATTCAATATCATGAATTGGTAATGTTGAAACTACTTAGAGACTAATTATGATTGAATTACCTTTTTATTTTTATCAACAACTGTATGATTTGTGTTAAATGAACAAAATTAGTAGTGAATATGATATATTAGAATTCAAATAGTAAATCTAGTTCTACTAACCTACAAGGTTCATTTCGGTCAAATATGTGTTGAATTTAGAATATAAGACATATTATGTTCATCTCAATTTGGGTACTAATATTTTTAAAACGGAAAAATATCATATTTGTTTTATATTCTCAGAAAAGCGTTATATTTGTCATATTTTTTTTAATATATATTTGATTATGTCATTCAACTTAAGACACATATTTTTCATTGGACTATTACATTTTACGTTAACCTTTTTATCATCTGATATTTTAATCTTGAATACCTAAAATTAACTTTTCCGTCGTATCATAAAATCTAATGATTATATTATTTTTTCTTTCTTATTTTAAAAATGACATTTTCTTTTGAGTCGAAACTCCTAGCCCTTTTAGTAAATTTAGTTGATTTTCTACATTTTATAAACAAAAAATTTCACTAGAGATACAATTTCAAACATGGTTGAGGTTGGATAAAATTGTTTAACTCATAGTTTAACAAATTTTGGATTCTAAAATCCTGCAAACTAGAAACATCTAACTTAAGTACAAGTCTTGGGTTTTATCGTCACTTATTTCATGTTTAATTTGACGTTTAAATTATTTTTAAAATACATATTTGTTTCAATTTATTTATCCTGCAGCCAAAAAAAAAAAAAAATTAATAACAATAAGCTCTTTTAATACTGTCGCAAATTATTGTCATCTTAAGCGACATAAATAAAGAGGGTTGATTGTAAAACTTATATTTATTACTACAACTAAATATAATATATCATCAATTATAGTATCGTTGCCAAATCCTTTATTTGTTATTTGTCTCTTTCCTACAAAGATAGTTGAGGCAAAAGGTATGAAATGTTAGATATACCCCTTAACTATCATCTTTTTTCATGCCTAAACAAATCCTAACAAAAATAATACAAGGGAATCACACAGACTAAATTAAAAATCATAATTAATATTCCAATTTCATAATCAAATTTTCAACAATAATACTAACAAAAAAAAAAGACTACGGTATGTTGTTTTTGGTCCTAAATTCTACGAGAAAGTAATTTGAACATAAAATTTGAACATCGCGAATCCCAAAACAGCCCAATTTCATCACCGACCCCCAATTTGTTATTGTTGAACAATTCAATGCACGAAAGACCATAGTCATCGTTGCACAGCTTCCATAAGTAAACATGCTCACCTTCATACTTGTTAGGAGCATTATCCTCCGTTACATCCCACACTTGAACATACACACCGCACCCGTTCACCAAAATTTTGGCGAGGTCCAGTGTCTAGTATCGAATAATGTACTCAAACGTCTCGATATATGGAATCAAGAGGGCTCCTGCCTCAACCTCATAACTGGTAATCTTTATCTTGATCTGCCATGGGTTTTGTAGATCGATTTTGGGGGGAGGATACATATCCCTAATCTCAATTAGTTCTCGAGTCACTACATATGGAGTGTTGTTACGTTTGCAAGCTTCTTCTTCTTCTTTTGATGGAAAGAAATTGTAAAAGAAGGTCTTCTTAAGGCTAAGGAATATCTGTTGATCAGACATTGAAGAAACAATACAATTCGCCAAAAGAATATTACGCACAGAGAGATAGAGAGAGGCAGGAAATTAAGCTTGATTTTATAAGAGTAAACTCTAGGTTTTAAATTATTTTCCTAATTTGAGAGGGAAACAGAAAAAAATAATATTATTTTTGGTGTGAAAATTTTCAAATTATTTTTATTTTGACGAATTTAAGAAGATAAAAGGTGTTAATTGGCATTTAACTAAAACTTGTGAATCAGATTTGGAAAAATTTTGTTCGACTTTTATTTAACCATAAATTAGATTGTCCATTCACCGTTTTTTGTCCAGTAAAGAAAATCCTTATATGTTAAACACCTAGTTCTGGATTTTGTTGGAATTCAAAAATCACAAGTAAAATTATCGACTTAAACAGACTTTCAACACCGTAAATTAACTAACAAATTGTTTATTACCAAAAGTTCACCAGGATTTCTTCTTTTACGTGACTAACATAGAGAGGAGATTCCAACTCTGAATCGTAAATCGTTGCTGCAAATCCCAATCTGATTTCGACATTCGAACTTGGTGTCTGTTTGAAATTAACAGAGATATTCCCAGCACTGGAACACTTATGAACCAGACCCGAATTATGAAGATCAAACAAACCTAAAAGACCTTGTTTAAGAGCAATAGCAATACAATCCTCCGGTAATCCGTTGTGAAATCAAGATGACAGAATGTAACAGAGCGATCCTTCTGACATACAAGGCAATGTAACAAGGAATCCTTCTTTGAATTTCTGAATGCACAGATATCGATGTTAATATGGTCGAATTTGGGATATATTTTCCTGCCACAGTGGTCCAAACGATATCTGGTCCAGGTCAGATGAACTTGACAGGGGTAACCGGAAGGAAGGAGACTGCCGTTATGCGTGGAGACATATAATCTAGACTTCTTAGGATCAAAACAAAGGTAAGCACTTTGATTTTGTGAGCATCCAAGAGACAAACATGTGCTGGAGAGAGGGTTGCAATTTGTTTTGGTTATAAGGCCTTAACCATGGGTAACACAAACAACCAAAGACCCGAAGCTCATATAGCTAGTCCAAAATAGGGAGACTGATTCTCTAAATTCTGGTCGGTAAAGAGATTAATCAAGTAGGATGCGGTAGCAAAGGCATAGGACCAAAATTTAAGAAGGAGATTTGCATTGTGTAATAGGGTGATCGATACTTGTCTCAACAATATGGCGATAACGACGTTCAACGTTTGCATTATCACTACTAAAAAAAGGCCAAAAAGAGACCTAGAAATGGAGACCTCAAAAATAGGTCAATATTAAGAGACCTCATGAGGTCGCTATTTAAATTAATATCTTTTATTTATTTTTTTAATGTAGGAGAGACCTCGTGAGGTCAATTTAATGATTTTTTTTTACCTCACTTATTTAAAAATTTTAAATTTTTAATCTAATTCTCATAAAATTAGAGACCTCATGAGGTTTCTAATTTTTTAAATATTCAATTAAATTAAATTATTATTTTTAATTTAACAAGTAGAGACCTCATGAGGTCTATACTTGTTAAATTAAAAATAATAATTTAATTTAATTGAATATTTAAAAACATAGAGACCTCATAAGGTCTCTTAAACAAAACCAAAAACCTAGCCAAAATTAAAATAGCTCTCTTTCTTTCCTCTCTCTTAATTTGTCGTCGACCGCCTCTCTCTCTTTCTCACTGACCTCGTCGACCCTCTCTCTGTATCGTCTCTCTTTCTCGTCGACCCTCTCTCGCTGTATCGTCCCTCTCTCTCTCATCGCTCATCGCCAGCTCTCCGCCGCCAGCAGTCGTGCTTCAGCAGGTGGAGGTCACGCTGCAAGAACGGAAGTAGTTGTAGGTTCCTTCATGGTGCTGGGCCTGGTGAAGGTGAAGTTGGGTCACCAAACAAGTTCGAGATGATGGAACATTGACAAGAACTCTCAGATCTAAGTCTGCTCACCAGCAAAGACTAGCCACAGCTTCTCAGCTCATGGCTTCTTCTAACTTTCCTCTCTCCCCCATGGCTGCTAACAAATGCATGAACTTTCTTCAGCAGCAACAGTTGCAGTCTGCTGAAAGCCGAAGGTTTGAACGCCACCCCCCTCTTTTCTTCTTACTGTTTTTATGGTATTAAATTTTTTTTGGAACTTTGGACTAATTCTTGATGTGAAATTTCTACAGGGCAGCTGCTGCATTGATGATGGGTGATGACATGCACAAATTGAGCAGAAGTCGTTTTGAAAGAGGGGATTTTGGACTGAATGGTGGAGTTGGAATAACAAATCCACGTTCAAGGCAAATTTACTTGACATTTCCAGCTGATAGTACTTTCAAAGAAGAGGATGTTTCCAATTATTTCAGGTATTATTGGTTTGAAAAAAACAATGTATTAAAGTTGTTCCCCTCATTTTGAAGTTTTGGTTTCTTTAATCTTGTTATTCTTGATTTTCTAGCACTTATGGGCCTGTTCAAGATGTGAGGATTCCATATCCGCAAAAGAGGATGTTTGGTTTTGTTACATTTGTTTATCCGGAGACTGTGAAGACCATTCTTGCCAAAGGAAATCCTAATTTTGTATGTGATGCTAGGGTGCTTGTCAAGCCTTACAAAGAGAAGGGCAAAGTCCCAGAGAAGTTTAGGTATTAATCCTTTTTATCACAACTACTTACTTATTGTGAATTTTATATTCTTTAAATTGATTAATTTGATGTTGGGATTGAAATTTCAGGAAGCAACACCAACAGCAACAGCAGGAAGCAACACCAACAGCAGGAAGCAACACCAACAGCATATTGATATTTGGTGTTTGTTTTGTTGCAGATAATGGTTTTGCACTCAATTATGGATCTTTTTGTTAACTTTATAATTTTGTGATGGGAATTATTTGTTTTGTGAATACATGATAACGTTGGAATGTATTATATAACTTATGGATATCATGGTTTTTGTTTAATATATAATTATGTTGAAGTGAGTTGCAATTGATTTGATTTGGGTACTGAATTAAAATGATAGGTGAAGAGAAGCCGCAGAAATAATAATTTTCTGTCAGTTTTTTTCCAGAAAAAGAGACCTCATGAGGTCTCTTTTTTGCATTAATTATCCAGATATTTCATAATAGAGACCTCATGAGGTCTCTTTTTTGCATTAATTTTTCCAGATATTTCATTATAGAACCTCATGAGGTCTCTATTTTCCATTTTCTATTTTATAAATGCAGAAAAGAGACCTCATGAGGTCTCCCTTTTGTATTAATTTTTCAGCTATTTCATAATAGAGACTTCATCATGTCTCTAATTAACATTTTACATTTTATAAATGCATAAAAGAGATCTCATGAGGTCTTTTTTCTGCATTATATTTTCCGTAAATTTCATTATGGAGACCTCACGTGGTCTCTAAAAATAAATGCAGAAAAGAGACCTTATGAGGTCTCTCCTTTAAAATAATATAAAATTAAATTAAATAATATCTTAGCGACCTAATGAGGTCTCTTTATTAAAATATAAAATTAAATCATATAATAAATTTGTGACCTCATGAGGTCTCTATATAAAAAATATAAAATTAAATTAAATAATACAATAGTGACCTCATGAGGTCTCTTTTTTGTAAAAAATCAGATAATTTGTTGGTGACCTCGTGAGGTCTCCGTTTGGCGACCTCATGAGGTGTCTGTAAAAAAGTGACCTGCATTTTACTGACCTAGCGTTGAGGTCTCTTTTTCGGTCTCTTTTTCCCGAAAAGAGACCTCGTGAGGTCTCTTTTCTTGGTCTCTTTTTGGCCTTTTTATAGTAGTGTATGTTCAGGAGTATGTGGAGGAGTTAGGAGGTGAGATATTCCATTGTCTTCAAAGAAGGACCTGAGATGGATGAACTCACCACCATTGTCAGAATAAAAGGAGATGATGGGCTTTTGGAAGAGCTTTTCTAAAACTTTCTTAAATTTGGGAAACATAAAGGATACATCAGGTTTTCGTTTTATGGGAAAGAACCGGTGTATTTTGTATAATGACCAACAAATATTAAATAAAATTGAAAATCATCTACTGAAATTTCCGGTGAAGGACCTCAAACATCTGAATAAATGTATTCCAAAGGAGCATTGCTCTTTATTGTAGAGTTATAGAAAGGAAACTTATGCATTTCACTGCATTTACAGGAGCTACAAAAGAAGGAGTTTTCTAAAGAGGATGAAATAGCTAAAAGCTTGAAAACTTGACGAAGAGTGGGAGAGGACGAATGACTGAGACATCAATACCAATTAGAAGCACTTTAGCCTCTGCTGGGGTTCAAATCTCAATGGATGAGCTCTTCCTTCATGCTCGTTATGGACTTTCAGCCGATCATAACACTATCACTGCAACTCTACGTGCCAGAGAAACTCCAGTGAAATTTTAAGAGCTTCACAAGAAGCTCCTTCATTTTGAACAGAATCTCATTCGTTCATCTTCCTTTACCACAGTTCCAATTACAACAAATTTTGCTGCCAAACAATCATATGACTATTAGCTTCCTTCTTGTAATAAGTCAAAGCTTTGACTTTGTTTGCTACCAGTTCATCTGACAGGGGATTGGAATTTGCTTAAAGTAACCGTCTTTATGATAATACGTATGTTAAATTTGACAAGATTCAAAAATGAATTAATGAGAAGATATAATAGTTAGGAGGATAATTTTTCATTGGTAAAAAAAAGTCAAGATAACACCTTTTGTGAACCATAAAATGGTTTCACAAGGTAGATCTTGACATTTTGACATATTCTGATGTAATGGATGACATCAATAGGAAGAATTCACTCCTATAAATAGGTAGCTTCCAATTTATTTGTAACACACCTCTCATTTGCCTTCTCATCTCGTAAGGCATTTGTTCTTCTTTCTCTCTTGTACTATTTCACTTGTACTCTTTTTGAGTGAAATAAATATTGGTTGGTTGTGTCCGAGGAGTAGGCAAAAGAAAACAAAAGTTTGCCGACCTCATTAGTTCCTGGTGTTCTTTTTATTGTTGTCTCATTTACTATTTATTAGCTACCTTAAATATGACAGTTGTGATTCCATCACTCTCTCTATATTTGTCTTTCGCAACAATTGGTATCAGAGCCAAGGTATTATCTGAGAATACTCTATGGTTGCAGCATAGTCTGAACTTCCACATCAGAAAATTTTTTACTTTGGTCACTGCATTGTTAGCGAGTAAATAGTATTTGTAGTAAAATGGGAGACAAGAAAAATGATGAGTCCACATCGAGTGTCAATAATACGTCATGATTGTCATCTTCACTTATGATAAGAATGGTGTGAAATGTGAAATTTGCAGTTGAAATTTTTGATGAGTCAGGACATTTCGGAATGTGGCAAGGCGAGGTCCTTGATGTTATTTTTCAACAAGGGCTATATATTGTAATAGAAGAAAAGAAACCAGACGGTGTAGGAGAAGAAGATTGGAAGATTATTAATCGTGTTGCTTGCGGTACCATTCATTTTTACCTTACAAGAGAACAAACGTATCCACACACGAAGAAAACATCTGCAAATAAATTATGGAATTCATTGGAGGAGAAATTCTTGAAGAAAAGCAATCAAAATAAACTTTACATGAAAACAAGACTGTTACGCTTCACTTATATTCCTGGTAGCACAATGAATGATCATATCACCAACTTTAATAAGTTGGTGACAAATTTGCTGAATATGGACGTGACTTTTACGGTTGGAATTGTTAAGTTCACTTCCCCATGAGTTTGAGAATCTTTAAACGACTCTACTGCATGGGAATGATGAAGTATCTCTCAAAGAAGTTTGTTCTGCCTTATATTGTTATTAACAAAGAAAGAGAGAAAAACAAAAAGGTGGAGAAGCAGAAGCACTGATTGCGAGAGGTCGTTCTCAAAATCATATGAGAATGAAGAAAGAGAGATCCAAATCAAGATCAAGACTCAGCAAAGAAGAATGTACCTTTTGCCGAGAAAAAAACACTAGAAGAAAGACTGCCCAAAGTTGAATAGCAAAGTCAAATCAAATAATGGGAAGGCTGTCATGGATTCAAATGTGGATGATTGTAATGACTCCGATTACTCATTAGTTATAACATATCCATACAAATCATTTGATGTATGGTTTATGGACTCAACTTTTAGCTATCATATATGTCCCAATCGGGACTGGTTTGTTGATTTACAAGAAGGAAAATGTAGAGTTATTCACACCGCAAACAATAATCCTCTAACCGCAATGGTGTTGGTTTAACCCGATTAAGGAACAATGATGGATTAAGTAGAATATTAATAGATGTTCGATATGTACCATATTTGAAAAAAAATCTCATTTCTATAAGAGCCCTAGAGTCAAAAGGGTTCAAAGTCATTACAAATAATGGCGTGATTAGAATATGCTCTAGTGCACTGGTGGTAATGAAGACAATTCAAAGAAATAATAACATGTACTACTATCAATGTAGTACAATTATTGGGACAACGACAACAACATCCAATGACGACAAGGAGGCAGAAATGACCAAGCTGTGACATATGCGCTTGGGACATGCTGGGGGAAAATCCTCAAAAACTTCATCAGATCAAGGATTGCTAAAATGAGTAAAAACTTGCAAGTTGGAGTTTTGCGAGCATTGTCAAGGGAGAACAAAAAAGAGTTAAATTTGGAACATCTATCCATAATACTAAAGGTATTTTGGATTATGCTCATTCAAATGTTTGGGGTGATTCCAAAACACCTTCATTAGGTGGGAAACACTATTTTGTAACCTTTGTTGATGACTTCTATAGAAGATTGTGGGTGTATACGATGAAAATAAAAGATGAAATATTGGGAATTTTTCTCAAATGGAAGGCGATGATAGAAACTCACTCAAAGTGGCAGAAAGATCAAGTGTCTTCGCATAGACAATGGTGGAGGATACAAAAATGATCTTTTTAAGAAAATTTGTGAGGAAAATGACATCGTTAGACATTTCACCGTCAGAAATACACCATAACAGAATGGAGTGGCAGAACGCATGAACCGAACTTTGCTGGAGAAGGTTCAGTGTATGTTGTCCAATGCTGGCTTGGGCAAAGAATTTTGGGCTGAGGCAATATCATATGCAGGCTACCTCATTAATCGTCTACCATATGATGCTATTGGTGGGAAGACTCCATTTGAAAAATGGTATGGAAAACCTACTAAAAATATGGTTCTGTATATCTAGTTGGTTCAATTGCATATTATCATGTAAGAGAGTCAAAATTGGACCCAAGAGCAAAGAAAACTTTATTTATGGGAATTACTTTTGGAGTCAAATGATACTGTGCATGGTGTCCAAAGACAAGAAAATTATTTTCAGCATGGATGTTAGCTTTGATGAATCTGCCTTGACAAATAAGGTAACAGTTGAAGAAGTCAAACAAATTGAATAATTGATGGTGCTTCAAAGCAGGTGGAGTTTGAGGGAAAGATAATTTTTCCAACACGGGGATCAAACGAGGAAACAACAAAAGATTTTCCTCTTGAAGGAGAGACAGTCAAAGAGGAGGTTCCCTCTCAAGAACCTCAACCAGAACTTGAATCAATAGCAACCAACAAGCCAAAAGGACTAAAAGAAAACCTGCTTGACTCACAGATATGGTGGTGTGTGCTAACTCAATTGCAACCGATGACATTCCTACCACTTATAAAGACGCAATCCAAAGTTCACAAGAAAATAAGTGGAGGATTTCCATGGAGGAAGAAATGCAGTCCCTTCGATTATCAGAATCATACATGGAGATTGGCCAATCTCCCGGAGGGCAAGAAAGCATATGGGGGCAAATGGGTATTTGCAAAGAAAGAAGGATTTCCTAACCAAGAAGATGTTCGCTACA